TGGATTACCTAGAACACTGGCCGGGGCTCTTGGTACTAAACTCTCCTCACCAGTCCACCCAAACCCCCAAAAAGCAAAAAATGCTTTAAATAGACAATCCCTATAGGGCTGGCCCCTGTAAGCAGGTGGCTGCTTTGCCTAATTGGAAATCCAGCCCTGGTGCTGTACTTCAATGGATGGATGCATAGCGTAGCTCTGCTGATTGAAACTGGCTGAGCAGATCATGAACTGGAGACCCTTAGCTCCCTACTTTCACATAAATACTTATAAAATGAATAATGTTCGACCCCAGACCACTGCATTAATTCCCCATGTGATTCAGTTCCCATCTATTGTTTTAACAGGCGGGGAGGCCAGTATGACAGGAAACGGACAAGGATAGTAAGATGCAATATATATAGACAACAGTATCAAAAAACATCCATCACTCACTCACTTGTGTGTATTGCTGAGTGTCAAAGAATTGTTCAGTGTATATGAGTATGCTACCAAACCGCAAAACGTTGTGCTGAGTAGGTGAGTTTATCACAGAGCTTCATCGGAATCAAGCTCACACAAATATGCAGAGAGTTCGAGTGCATCACAGATATTCAAGCCAAATGGGATTTAAAAAGTTATGCCAAGTTAGATATAAAATAATAAAAGTACAGCTGTGGGGGTCAATTATAGCTGTATTCTGCCGTAGGTGGTATTTGATCAAGCAACGTTCCTTACTCCCAGCACTACCATAGCAATACAGACTAGTTGTCACAAAGTTAACTCTTTCATTGTTTATTAACCATTTCAGTGCCGCAGCCAAGATCAGTAAACGTCTACCTCAGCATAAAACAATATACATTTAGATACAAATATTTAAAAAAATGCAAGGAATATCCCCAACACCTCAAGCTAGAAAGGTGAGTTAACTAGTAGCCCACCATTCTATAAAAAAAATGAGTGGACATTCCCTGTACCACCTAGAAAGTGACTGGGCCGGTAACAAATGTTACAGGTTCATACATGATTCTCAGTAGACAGGCTTGTTATTCATTAATGACATTTTTAAAATATCATATTTTTAATTATGCACTTGCAGAACTATTTATGGTGCAGCCAGTGTGGGTATGCTGGGGCCTGGAAGCTTGGTGGGCCCATGAGGTATCCATCACACTTAAAGACACCTACAACCAATGGTCATCACTGATCTGACAAATTGGCAGTGCTGGGAGGAAGTGAGTGTGGAAGAAAATTAGCGTTAGAAGGTCTGAACCAGACACCAATCAGGCTAAATCAACAACCAGTTCTGGGCCCCAGGTAAACCACCTTCCTGTACAAAAAAGGTATGGATGCATGGGGGTAGCTAAAATATGTAAATGATGACTTGTGCATGAGTGTCAGATTGTATTTGTGTGTATTTGTGTGTCAGTGTATGTGTATCTTTTAAAAAGGTACAAAAAGAGGGGCTAAAAAACAGTGCTAAAATAAAATATAATAACATTAAATTAAATTAAACAAGCTCCACCAACTAAAACAGCGACCATACCACATTTAAATTTAGCTGATAAAAAGAGAGAGGGGTATATTCACTAACTGTCTTAAAATATATTGTACAGTAGATATCCCGGTTAAAGTCCAGAGTTACTAAAAATGAACCATGTCCACTTTAAAAGTACAACATTCAATGCTAAAAGTGCATGGAGATATGAATGTAGCACAATGTTGCAAATACTGTATCACTGTAACAAGCAACACCATGAATATTGTAACAAGCTTCCCCAAAAACTCTGTGGCTGCCAAATAAATAACATACAGCCCAACAGAAAGAAACGTTCATTGGGCATGTGTGTTCCAATGCTCCGCCATATCTGAAAAATAAAATCACATGTCCATAGTGCTTACTGTAACATGTTGCCTCATTGCACAAAAAGATTTAAAACACTTAACAATTAATCACAATAGAGTCTCACTTGTCAGGAGACACACCTCTTTAATCAGAGATGCCCATTTGTTATCAGCATAGCTAAGTTCTCCACTTCAGCCATTCTTTATGTTAAAGGTCCCCTGTGATGGCCAGCAATTACTTGGGTTACTTTGTTGAGAAGGAGTCAAATACAAGCCATAACTGTCCCCGGGTCAATTTTCTAATAATTTTGCGGAAGTTCTACTGTGCTCCACACACAGGCTTTCACTTCCTTTCTCTATTGGCACAAGGAACCAATCAAAGCAGCCTTACGAGTTTCATGGGTGAGCAGACCTACATTATTATAGGAAATACTATTATAAAATACTAGAGCATACAAGCTTAAGGGGTCTCTTGGGTGTCCCCTCACAAGTAAGTACACAGAAACCCAATTGGAATTTCTGGTCAGAGGCCTAGACGGCCCTTTAACAGTGCAGCCAGGCCCCTGTTAGATCGGCAGTGCTGGGAGAAAGAAGAGGTAGGACAGAGAAGGAGGCAGACAAAAGAGGAGGGAGAGAGCTTGGACAAAACTCCAACCTGCCTTAGCCAGATATGGACCCCTTGCTTCCAAATAGTGTGGAAGCAAGGGGTTGACTAAAATATGTAAATTATGAGTTGTGTGTGTTTGTGTTACTATGTGTTTCTGTGTTTGTGTCAGTGTGTTTGTGTATCTATGTCAGAATGTGTATGTGTGCGTGTGTATTTTTGTCAGAATGCATGTGTATCTGTGTGTGTCAGTGTTTATGTATATCTGTGCCAGAATGTGTATCTGTGTGTGCGCAAGTGTGTATGTGTTTCTTTGTGTGTATGTGTGTCAGTGTGAATGTATATCTGTGTCAGAATGTATGTGTTTCTGTGTGTGTCAGTGTGTATGTATAGCATGTGTGTGTGTCAGTGTGTATGTATAGCTGTTTCAGAATGTGTGTGTGTGTTGTTATGTATGTGTATCTGTGTGTGTGCCAGTGTGTATGTGTATCTCTGTGTGTGTATGTGTGTCAGTGTGTATGTATAGCTGTTTCAGGATGTGTGTGTGTGTTGTTATGTATGTGTATCTGTGTGTGTGCCAGTGTGTATGTGTATCTTTGTAAGAATCTATCTATATATTTACTTTGTCAGTATGTGTATGTGTAGGTGTGTCAGTGTATATGTGTATCTGTGTTAGCTTGTGTGTGGGATTGTATGTGTAAATGGCCATACATCACAGCATTCAAATGCCAACATTATATACCCCTGCATTTAAAAGCCAACACTACATACAAGCACACCTCTGCATTCTAATGTCACCACTACACACAAACACTACACACAATGGCACACCTGCATTTGAATGGCAACATTACATACAAACACACCACTGCATTCAAATGAAAACATCACATACAAATACTACCCTACATTCACACAATCTACACTGTAAACAAATACAGCTCTGCAAATGGTAAATTCTGAGCTGACACAGCTTCGTGGGAGTTGCTAGGCATTGTAGTGTCCACCATTGTGCTTTTTGGGGGGAGGCAGCAAAAAAATGAAGATAAGTGGAGTTGGTAAGGACATCACTTTTTATGGGGTGGAATGAGGATTTCTTTTGCAGTATTAGAAAAGGACGGCCTTCTGGACAGCCATTACATATTACACTCTCATACTGTTATACAAAGGGATCATAGGTAAGAGTGGAAATATTGGTGCCTGGGTATTAAAACTTCATATTACTTGAGATGTCAGGTCCTCCAATACCTGGTAGCAGGACTGTTACTTTTAGAAAATTCTCAAATTGACTGCTGCAGTGCCTTTGTGATTATGTTTCCCTGGGCCTTATTGTTGTGCTATTTCAGAATTTGTCCTCAATCATAGATTTCAGTTTATTTAGCTTGATATAACATATTGTTTTATTATGGTATGATAAGGCCAAAAAAAACTTCAATATAACAGATATATAACAGTGGATGATTTCATTCATATCAATTTATTGAACTTTATTATGAATGTCAATACAGCTTGGCATTTAATGAATTGAGAGCCTGAAAACAACAACAAGCAATATGTCACACACAACTAAGGTTAGATTATAGGTTAGTTAATTATAGGTTAAGGAAACTATTTGTCAGTTCCAGGTGCAAACCTCTAAGGACAATTAAGAAACTTTTTTTTTTCCTCTAAGCTTTGCACATTGTGTATATCTAAAATAATACATATGCAAACAAAAATGGTTTTATTGTAATGTATTTTAATGTAATCCAATATATTATGTAATATATATATATATATATATATATATATATAGGCGGGGGTATGGTCATTATGGATTATGATAAATATGCAGCGGAAGTTAAAAGACAACTACAGGACAGGAATACATACAAACCATTAAAGGATGACCCCACGAGAGAAATACAGGAAAGGATAGAAGATGTCTTAACTATGGGACTAAGAGCCAATTATATAGACCAGAATTTATATCTATATCTGACTCAGAAACATCCGAGAATGCCTATCATATATACAATACCTAAAATACATAAAGTCAAACAGATCCACCGGGGCGCCCTATAGTATCCGCAATAGGGGGGGGTTTACAACCAATAGGAAAATGGCTTGATGCTCTGTTTAAAGATACAGTACAAAATCTATACACATGCATCAAAGATACCCCGTCACTTTAGCAGCTTTGGAACAACTCTACATGGAGAATGAACAACCAGTGCTTATTACAATGAATGTAAGTAGCCTCTATACCATCATCCCACATGATGGTGGTATAGAGGCTATGAGACAAGTCCTGTGTGCTTCAACAGTATATGTGGGTCCCCTCATAGAATATACGTTGGAACTATTGGAGGTGGCACTAAAGAACAACTATTTACGTTTCGAGAGGCAATGGTATATGCAAACATCAGGAAAGTCTATGGGCGCAGCCATGGCACCAATGTATGCGAATGCGTACATGTATATCTTTGAAATGGAACATATATTAAAGCTGTTTCAACAAAACATCATAAAATACTTTCGTTTCATAGATGATGTCTTGATAATATGGGGAGGTACCATAGCACAGGCTCATGAAATGGTGAAACACATCAATGAATTACCAACACCGGTACGGATGACAGCTGTTGTAAGCACAGAAAATGTCCAATTTTTAAACGTGGAGTTGTCAGTGGAAGAACATAGGATTGCCTATAGTCTCTACTCCAAGCCCACGGACAGGAACACAATATTACACCACACCAGTGCCCACCCAACCAGTTTGAAAAATTCCATACCGCGAGCACAATTCCTCAGGGTTATGAGAAATAACTCAAAGGAAACAGTGAAACAGCAACAAATACTTGGGATGAAGATTACATTTTTGGAAAGAGGGTATAGTGAAGAAGTCTTAAATAGAGCGTTGGAAGAAGCTAAGAAAAAAGCAACCACGCGTCAAGACACCACTACAAACCCTAAATTAGTCTTCCCCATGACATTTCACAATAAGTCACAGAAAATATCTAATATTGTGAGGAGTAATTGGAATGTGTTAGCATGGGATAATACCCTACCAAGGGAATTCAAGGAACCACGAGGATTTGTTACTGAAGGAACAGGAATTTGAAAGATATATTAATGAGAACAGACCCCTAAGAAAGTTACAGTGAACAAAAGAAAACACAAGTGAGGGGGTGCGTTCGCTGTTTAGGGTGCGTGACGTGTGGTCGGATGGTTTCATCAAGACATTTTAGCCACCCACATAAAAACAAGATCTACAATATATGATATACCATAACATGTAGAACAACTTTTGTTATCTATAAAATATCATGCCCTTGTGGCTTGGTCTACATTGGGAAAACTGAGACACAACTATGTGACCGAATCAGAGGGCATAGATCTAACATAAGGACGGCGTATAGAGATGGGCATACTGATAAACTGGTGGCAAAACATTTCTTGGAGTACAAACATCCATTAACTACCTTATAGCTTGTGGCAATAGATCATGTGCCACAGTCCAGAAGGGGTGGAGATAGAGGCAATGCATTATTGAGACGAGAGACATTTTGGATACAAGAATTGGACACAGTTGCACCCAGAGGATTGAATGAAATGGTATCGTACCATTCATTTATATGAACATCTTTAAGAGAAAGGACTGACCTCCCAGAGTTATAGATAAATTTACCAGAAATTCTGTTATTAGATTAGAGGAAAGTTACATTTTTTAGAACAACAGATGGAATTAATATAAGTACCTATGGAGTATAGAGATACATATAGTAAAGATTGTTTAACCTAAATGTATAATACATATTATAGAGACATATCACGTTATGCACTTTAATGTATATAGAAACATAATTCACTTTTTAGCACTTTAATGTAGATAATGAGCATGCATCAGTTTAACTTTTTCACTTTAAGCACTTTCATGTACATAAACAGCAAATGTGTCACTTTAAGAGATAGTAAAAGCACTTTAATGTACATATATCTAAAAGCAGGGGAGTCACTTTAAGAGATGAAAAAGCACTTTATTGTACATATAGATCACTTCAGGGCACTTTAATGTACATAATAGCAAGAGTATTACTTTATGGCACATAAGTCACAGAAAATATCTAATATTGTGAGGAGTAATTGGAATTCTATGAATAGGACAAAACACATAATACATCATAGGGTACAGCACCTTAATGATAAATAAGATATGTCACTTTAAATATATTTGAAATATATTTGAAATATATTAGAAAAAATCTTTTAGAACTTCTAGCAAAAATGTATACCTATATAGCTTATTGTTTATTTGTTACCATTAAATATAGATGAATCTGTAACTTATAAGACCTCTGAGAAAAACAGTAAGGGTAATGTTTTAAATATTTTAAATTTTTTCCTTGAATTGTTGTGCTATAAGATCGGTGCACAGAGGGAACTTGTTTACCCAGTTGCTGGGGAGCCTGTAGAGGCATCGGATAACCCTGGCAACGAACGGTGACGTCATTACGCTACTTCCGGGTAGTGGCATGCTTGCGCATGCGCAGATGTGCTTGAGGGACGCCGAGGAGGATTGATAGCAATACAGGTGTGAGTGATTTATTGACTGATTTATTGATTTGTTTAGTTATATAAGTGTGTTATTTGTGAAATGTCTTTGTGCTGAATTGATCCTGATGAAAGCCACGGATGTTGGCTGAAAGGTTGATCGGATTTTAAAGAGATGAAATAAAGGAATCTTTTAAAGAAAATCAAGACCATGAGTGCAAGCCTTTCAATATTTATATATATACACAATAAAATTACCAATAAATAAGTTATTACTCGTATTCCACTGCGTGACTGTATTTATAGAGTTTAGCCTGTTTTATGATGTTCTTTTCTGTATTAATTATTATATTTATTGTAGAATTTATACATTGTTATTTGAACAATTTTCAATAAAAAATATTTGAATAAAATTACTAATAAAATGTATCCCTTTGGGTACATATGCCTTATCGGCAGATAAAAACTGCTTTTTTTTTTTTTAAATAAATTGTTTTATGTTCTCACAATACAAAAATACAACATTAAGTTACATACAGTACTTAAATATATTGTTGTATTAGTTGATGTAAATATATTCCATATACAGACAAAGGTTACATTTAGGTGCACATTCTTGTTATAAAGAGATGGGATTGTGAGAAAGACTGGCATTAAACTGACACTGTGTTTTTTTATTTTCTAATAAATGCCTTGTAGAGAACAGTGCCCAAAGAAGACGCTAGCAGACAATGAAAAATGCTAAACATCTCTAAAAAGTCTGGATGCAACTGCAAATAGAACATCCGTATCTGACTGTGAAAACACACATTGAGGCAAAACACTAAACATGCACAAATTCAACAGTGATTTGTCAATGTCAGCGTGATGTTCTCTCTATGGTATTTACCATAAACAAAGACAATTCAGGATACCAATTAAATTTCAAACACCTTGCAAAACGAGGACACTTGCAGTTCCTGTGATTAGAACTTTCACTTGTAAAATAAATATACTGCAAAACGTATAAAATACAATAAGGCCAAGACAAATACATTGGAGAATAATTTTGCTGCCTATTTAAATAACAGCATAGACATTCAGGCTGCTAAGCACAGACCTTAGCTACCACTACCTAGAGCCCAGCTACTTTGGACTAAATGTAAAAGTCATTTGTTGACACACCATAGATCACTGCTTAGTAAATGTGCTATCATATTTAAAGGGATACTGTAGTGCAGGAATAAAAAGCGGTATTCCTGGCATTGTCGTTCCCTCTGCCTCCCTTTCCCTTGTGCCCCATATTCTTACTGGAATATAATCAGGGTCCTCCCAACTACTGTGAGTATCTATAGATGAAACCCACCCTCTCCTCTCTTATCCCCTCTTGTTGCCTCCTCTCTTTCTTCCCCTTCTTAAATGTGAAAAAATGTACAAATACTGCTTCAGAGCAGTTCGCTTACTCTTGATGTCTTACTATCCAAATATCTTAGTTAGTATGCTTACTGTGCCCTTGAGAAAGGCGATATTGTGTCGCCGAAACACGCATTGGGCTTTTTCTTATTATTTTTGGGGGCGGGGGTGTGGGCTTTTTCTCCACACCCTACAGACAGCTTTCTCAAAGTCTGCTATAGTAAATATAATACCTTCCCTACCTACTCTTACTTTATTTTTCTTCTATTTGCCGCTCTCTGTCCTTTCGATTTCGATACTAATCTGTATATTGAGCCAATCTAACTAAGATATTTGGATAGTAAGACATCAAGAGTAAGCTAACTGCTCTGAAGCAGTATTTGTACATTTTTTCACATTTAAGAAGGGGAAGTAAGAGAGGAGGCAACAAGAGGGGATAAGAGAGGAGAGGGTGGGTTCCATCTACAGATACTCACAGTAGTTGGGAGGACCCTGATTATATTCCAGTAAGAATATGGAAACTACATAGACACTTTTTTTCACAGATATTGCTGCACTCTGCAGTGATTATTACTTTTGTTACTCTGTGAGTGAGCCAATATATATTCATGTAGTGTCTATCTCTGAATGTTATACTGATTTGGACTGGAATATTTTCTTTGGGGTATCCCTCCACCTCTTACTTTGAGGCTGTCTGATATATTTTAGATATGTGGTATCTGGATTTTTCTATTTATCAATAAAAGTTTATTATTTTGTTACTAGTGCTAGATACCCTTCTGTATGTAATTTGTAGTACTTTGCTCTATTTGGGGTACTGGTTTTGAGGGATTTTGCTCCCCTTTTCTTAAGTGTTGCTTTTCCCTCATCTCTATTTTTTTCTTTTCCGAAATTGTCTATTAAGGGTTAAGCCCTCTTAGTACCCCTGTAACCCTTTCTTTTGCACTCCTTGCTGTATTTTTTCTGTCTAGGAGTACATTTTGTCTAAATGTTATACAGTTAGTTCATTTTTAACATTAAAGTTTCACTAAGGCCGAAAGGCTTTGGTGGCACAGCTATCTCGATGAGAAGAATCTTCGGTAATTTACTCTGTAAAACAAGATGTTTCTTAGTACTTAATGGAGAGTTGGCTCTTAATTTAAGTAATTTTAAAAGGGAAAAAAAAAGAAACATGGGCATATTACAACTAGATATATCAAAAGATAGTGTCCTAGCACCAAATACAGTAATGTTAAATATTTCAAATAGTTTAAAGTTAAAATGCTAATGTGAGCACATTTAGTAGAGACACTGTTAGAAACTTCAAAAGTCACGCATTGCTAACCTTTAGATTTGAAGCACTGTTCTCTTTGAGTAATTATTGTGAGTAGTCATACACGGAACATTTTGTTTTCCTCTTATGTGTTTCTAAAACTGCTTTGCTATTGTGGAGTCTTGTTTTGAATGTATAGAAGTTTATATATGTTTCCTCAAGAGACTACAATATAGCCCATTGCTAATATTTCCATCTGAATGGATGTATAGTTTTATTAGGAGAAGTATGAATATCAGGAATTCAAAGTGAATTAAAAGTTAAACACTCTGGGCACCATAACAACTTTATCAGAATTGTTTTGTTGAGGGGATGTTCTGGGCACCATTTTACCTGTTAACGAATGGTTTAACCTCAGATTCTTCTGTCAGGCACCCATCTGCTCAGCCTCTCCACTTGTATTTGAGTCCAAAGCTTCAATCAGGAAACTCAGAGTGGGTGCCACTGATTTACAATCCCGATAAAGTCATTATGGAGCTCCGAGTGTCTGTTTAGGAGTTTACTCCAGCATTTCTTCAATAATTCAGTGTTCCGTTAGTAAAGTGCTCAGATATAGAGCAACATTTCAACTGCTAAAGAAGTATCTTCTTCTGATTTGTGCAGGGCCCCAGGGTGTCCGGGCAGAGCATGCTCCTGGGTGTTTGATTGACAGCTGGAAGAGTGCAACATGGCACCTTTAGAAAAGTGAAGATTTCTCTTGAAAATGACACTGTTATAGAGTAGCAAAGAGTGGACATTCTGTTAACCTCAAAATGCTGCTGTGAGCTTTAAAGGTGTGCAATGTTCCTTTACGGTTTAAGGGAACTGCATTTGTATATTCATACTGAATGTTTATAAGTGGTTTTCCATTGGCAGGCAATTGCACA